TGTCAAGAATGTGAAAAGATAACCTACAGAATGGGAGAATATTTGTAAATCACACAACATATGAGTTTAATACCTAGAATATGAAAAGAATCCTTAAAACTCAACAACAAAACGACAACTCAAGTTAAAAATGGACAAAGGTCTTGAACAGACATTTCTCCCAAGGAGATGTGCAAGTGGCCAAAAAGCACATGAAAAGATACCACTGATCGTTAAGGAAATGCAAAGCAAAACCGCCATCATGCAAAGTGAGCTACCATTTTACTCCCACTAAGGCGGTTGTAATTAAAAAAGAGAGATAATAAGTGTTGGCAATGATGTTGAGATATTATCACTGCTCATATGCTGCTGGTAGAAATATAAAATGGTGCAGCCACCAGAAAACAGACTGGCAGGTCTTTAAAAGGTTAAACCTAGAATTACCATTTGATCTGGTACTTCCACTCCTAGGTATATACCCAAGATAAGTGAAAAAATAAGTCCACACAAAAACTTGTGTACAAATGTTATGGCAGCATTATTCATAATAGTCAAAAAGGAGAAACAACTCAAAAGTCCAAGAACTGATTAATGGCTAAACAAAAGTGGTATATATCCATACAATAGAATATTATCTGTTCATAGAAAGGAGTGAAGTACTGATACATGCTACAATATGGATGAACCTTGGAGACATTATGCTTACTGAAAGAAGCAAGACGTAGAAGACAGCGTATCATGTGATTTCATTTATATGGAATATCCAGGATAGGTAAATCCATAGGAACAAAAATTAGATTAGTGGTTGCCTGGGACTGAAGAGAGAACAGAATGTACAGTGACTGCTGAAGCATAGGAGATTTCTTTTTGGAGTGATGAAAATGTCCTGGAGTTAGATAGTGGGGATGGTTACTCAAGTTTGTGAATAAGCTAAAACCCACTGAACTGTGCACTTTAAAATGGTGAATTTTATGGTATGTGAGGTCTATCTTGAGAGTAAATTTAGTCGATTTATATTGAGAAGTTCACTCTGGATGAAAGGACAGCAGATCACAGGCTGGGGTGACAGATCCCTACACAGTTGTACATTGAAAAAGGCTTTGGAGTTTACTCTATAAAGGGCGTGACCTGGACCATGTCCTAGGACATAGCTCACTTGTTCAATGATGGTGTTGGTAGGAGAGGGTAGAGGACTTGCGCTGCCCATGGTGCTGACCTCAAGAGATTTGGTTCTTATAAAACTCCCTGGGAATTTATTTCCTTTAAGCGCCCTTAACCTTCTTCATCGTGGTCCTATGATCAGTGCCTCTGAAGTGTTTTGCCCCAGACAGTTTCCCAATGCTCATGTGCATCTGATGCAATAGCTCACATACTTTTTAATAACTCCCATTGCTCTTGCTCTCAGCAGCCTGAACCCAGCTTCATTTCATGAATTGAGCCTAAGTTTTATTCCCCGAGGAATGTCCCTCCCCTTAAGGCCAATCCTATATGTGTTCCTGGTCTGAGAAGGCCAGGAGAGGAATGGAGCTGCAGGAGCAGGGTGGCCTGGATGATGGGGAGCTCTAAGTCCCATTGGCCTCTTTGGGCTAGAGGTAGGTGATGCCCCAGTGTCCTTCCCATGAACAAGTCAGCACTGAGAGAGAAGGCTCCTGCCAAAGCCTATTGTAAGACAAGCATGGGGTGGAGGGACGGTATGGGGAAGTCTTTGGGCAAGAATGCTGGGGAATGGGATTTGGGAGACCATTGACTTTATCTGTATCTAAGATTTTTGTCAGTGCTGGCTTATGTGTTCGGTGGAATTTAGGTCAGAGTGGCAGGGAGAGCAGTATATAGATGCAAATGGTTTTCCCCCCACCTCCCACACACGCATTACGGCTTCTTCCCACAACTAAGAGAAAAAAAACCAGGCCCCTCTCTCTCCCTTCCTACCTTCCAATGTTCCCCTTTTAATCCTCTTTTCTTCCTCCTCCTCCTGCTTGCTGCCTCTCCCCCTCATTTCAGGATTTTATTTCTTCTCTATTGTTGCACCGCCATTCTTCCTTCCTCTTAAATCTTGTGTTTAATAAAAACTCTTAATGTTTGCAAGATGACCACAGGTTAGAATCACCCCCATTCTTGGAACTACTTATTTCTCCTCCCCTCCTCTCTCTTAGTCCTGTGTGGACTAATGTCTTAAGAGCAAGACAGATGGGAGACAAGATTGAGTAACAATGGAAAAGCATCCGGAATCCTTCCCTTACCCGACACGCGCCTATGCCCTGCCCGTATGTCTCTTGATTGTCTTTCCCATCTAGAATCCCTCTAAATCTATTCTCTATGCATGCAGGTAGGAGAATCACTTCCAAAGATTGCTTATGAGTTTGTAGGAAGAATTCTGGCCATGCTAAGATGATGCTTCTAGGTTTGTAAGCCTGGTAATTCTGGGAATTAGGATTCTTGGATTCCCTTCAAGGTCCCTTAAACTAAACTCCTTTGTTCAGTGGCTACTCTGTCTCTTCTCACCTCTCACAGAGGTCTCCCAGTCCAGGCACTCCATCCACTGATAGCATGCTTTTGGGGACCATCTATGAGAAAGGTTTTATGTACCTAAGATCTTACTGTGTAACACTCAACATTTCAAACTCACACTGAAATCACATGTGAAGTGACGGAACTGTCCTTTTGGAAAAATACCAATACATGGCAACGAATGGAAAAGCAAACTCCTGTTTGGAATTGAAGGATGGCTAAAATTCAGAGGGCTGGACAGGATGGGAAGGCAATCCAGGTCATCAGGCATTACTAGCCTGATGAAAGGCACTGAGACCCGAGGAACCGAGGAGGAGATCAGTTTCCCTGAAGCCCAGGATTCTTAGAGGGGAGCAAGCCAGAAAAGGGTAAAAGTTCAGAGTGCAAATTCTGGGGCTAATCAGACCCAGTTCAGAGTCCCAGCTCTGCCACTTATTCTCTGTGACCTGGGGCAAGGTATTTAACCTCTTTAAGGCTCACTTATCTGTAACCTGGGGATAATTAATAGTACTTACTATACTTTATAAGCATGAGAATAATATATGAGAATTAAACAGGATAACACTTGTAAAATGCTTAGCATAGTGCCTAGGGCATAGAAAACATGCAGTAAGTGTTTACTATTATGACAACAATCATTACCACTACAGTCACTTTGAACGTTTGCAACTTCCACTACTGCTAAGTGGCAGGTGAGTCTGAAAAGAAAGGAGGAGGCAGTTTGTACGGAAGCCCCTGAAACCTCATCTGAAAACCCTGAATTTTTTCCTGTAGACAAAGTTTTTTTAAAAAAAAATTTTTGAGGAGAGGGAAAATGTCTTTTAGGAATCAACTTACTTACAACGTTGTATAGGGCACATCTCTGACTGATAAAAGCATACAAAAGTGTATGACAGTTGTCAGCTAAATGGGGATAAAGACAAAAATAGAGATAATAAGGCTATGCTGTTGGCATTTTAGAAACCAGTGATCAGGTGGGAGGGTTGAAGGTGAAGGGTTAGGGGTCAAGGGCTTTCTCAGAGGAGCCAAACTTTGCCATTTAAGCTGCTGCCCCCCCCCCAAGTCTAACCTTGACTCCACATGATGGAGGAAGGAAATAAAGCCAGCCTGAAATCTATTGCCCTTTGTTGGGGTTGCTCTGGCAATGCCCCAGGAAGTGCTGTTCGGCTCTGGCCTGTCTCAGGGCTTCCTGCCTTGCTGTGCTGGGTTACGCCCATTTTAACCCTGTTTCCTCCCATCACGTCCCACCAAACAGCTTGCAAGGGTCTCAGTGGCTCATGGGGATGCTTTACCAATGGTCCTATCCTGAGAGCTGGTGAAGCTGCAGAATAAAGAGAGTGCATCTTCCTGGAACAGCATTTTTACACAAATATTTGAGAATAAATCATGAGTTTTAGAAGAGATAAACCTGGCAATATTTTGAGCATTGTACTACCTCACAGATAATTTCAGAGACAATTCTGTTGTATGTTTGTCTACAGAAGTTGATGGAAATCTTCCTACATGTACTCATCCAATTCGCTCGTGAACAGAACATCGTGCGTTTGCTGCTGCCCCTCCCATGTGTCAGGTGGGGACCAGGGGCAGAGATCGTTCTATGTTCTGTTATCTCCACACGGTGGGGCCTCAGGGCAGAATTTTCTGAATGATTAGAGAAGACAATTCTGGAAAAGTATGATCCAAGGGAATGGATATTAACACCAAAGGACTCAATTTACTTTTCGAGTGGATGTCTTCTGGAACTTTCAGTTCTGAACTAAAGAAAGATGTTTCTTCCCTTTTCTATATTTTCTAGAGCACCTTGGTCTTTTGAAAGATTATTTATTTATCTTTAATTTTTCTGAGGAGGGAGATAGTTCGATTTACCATCTGTTTGTTTTTAGAGGAGGTGCTGGGGATTGAACCCAGGACCTTGTGTCTGCTAAGCATGTGCTGTATCATTTGCGCTATATCCTTCCATCTTAGAGCAACTTGGTCTTAAAACGTTTTACAAGCCACAATACTTAAGTGTTAAGCCTTCTAAAGATTGTCTAGAGATATGATCAATAGAAAATTTACATAGATATTAAAATAAAAAACATGAGAGTTCGAGGAGTTTTGCATTTGTCCTGGGCTGCTTGGAGTTACCCCTGCAGATGGCCCCATGGCAACAAATGCCACTAGAAAGTATTTAGGTGGAAAAGCTTGAGAAGCTCTAAGCATCCCACCTTCACTACAGCCAAAATCATCTCCTTGTTTTTCTTCACATTTGCGTCTGAATTTGTATATGACAATTTCTTCTAATACACATCTCTCTTCCTTCAGCAAGGAGTTATACCTCCACCAGGAAGAAGCATCTATCTGATTAACTGAAATCATGTGAAAATGTATTTATCTCCGTGGGACGCTCCATTTTGGAATGGTACTCAATAAGGATTTTGATCAACTCCATCCTGATTCTCCAAAGGAGAATGATTGAGTTATTATGATTTTTGTTTCATATGGTTTCTCTCTAGTCATGTGGAGAAGGTTCCATGGAACCACAGAACATCACAAAAGTGTCAGAGTTTGTCCTCTTGGGGTTCTCACAGAACCAGGAGTTTGAGAAATTCCTGTTCACACTATTCCTATTTGTCTATGTCACCACCATTGTGGGAAACCTCCTTATCATGGTCACAGTGACTTTTGACTCTCAGCTCGACACACCCATGTATTTTCTGCTCCGAAATCTGGCTGTCATAGACCTCAGCTACTCTACAGTCACTTCCCCAAAGATGCTGGTGGACTTC